TTTTTTTTTTTTTTTTTTTTTTTTTTTTTTTTTTTTTTTTTTGTTATGAAGTTAAAATAATTTGGTATTGAAACATGCATAAAGTGGGTAAATATTCTTGTCTTATAGAGGAAAAGGCAAGGGGAAAATGTTGTGGGCTCGTTTAACCAGAATTTAGAACACTGACTTTTGAAACATTTAGGCCGCCAACTCCTTTCTTTTTCTGTCTTTTATTTGAATGTTGTCCAGATATTGTTTGTGGTGAAGAAGTCTATCCAGATGAATTTGAAAGGAACAAGTTCTTTTCTTTTCTTTCTTATTTTTATTCAAACGCCCATGGTTTACCTACCCTTTTGTTTGACATTTTGGACAAAGAAAAATTATGGGTTTTCGTGCAGGCCAAATTCTGAAAATATCAACTGAATTAAAATGTCTAATCAAGAGTATAGTCTGTAGAGTCTAGCAAGTGGGAATTGGGGCATGCGTTAATTTTATACATATTTATATCTTTAGTGTTGACATATATTTTAGAATACGTATGGATTTTGGGTTATTCTTGCTACTTGGGTTGGTTAATTAGTTTTGATTTTATCAAATTGATTTATTAAATAGAACACGAATCCATAATTGGTGATATTTAATCTCTCAATTGAATTGATTTTTCTTATTTACTTGAAGATTTATGATTAATATGCATTAAATTGATTTGAGATGTATTTTTAGAGTATTTTGTCTGCTTGTTTGATTGGGATGATTTTGTTATCAAGTTTAGATAGTTTTTCTGAATGAGTTTGAGCCTTTTTTGTGACTTTGACTTTTTATAAGTTTGCTCTCAACCAATTATTTAATTAGCTACCATCTAAGAATAGTTATTTTAGTACCCATGATCATGATTATGATTTAGGGATGAAGTTAAGATTTTAGACGTTAGAATAAGATGATTTCCAACTTTTTTTTTTTTTTCTTGTTAGTGGGAAGATTATGACTACTGTAGTAACTAGTTTAATATTAGTTAGTTTTGAGTATTTGAATTTGTCGTGTTTTTTTAGTTAGAATACGATTTATTTTATGATTGAGTTTAGAAGTATTTCTATGAATTTGAATGTTTTGTTTGTTAGAATAATAATTGGAATGAGTGTTTCATGTTTGATTGGGGCACAGGGAGCAAGAAGATGGAGCTAGAGTGGTGAGTGTAGATAACGTAAACAACCCATACAGAAACCAATCGAACTTTGACAAGAGATTCAAGCTAACACTGAACAAACTATATGCATGGAGTTTGGTAGACTACGACCGGGTGGTGATGTTGGATTCCGACAACCTCTTTCTCCAAAAAACTGATGAGCTCTTCCAATGTGGTCAATTTTGTGCTGTCTTTATCAACCCTTGCATCTTCCACACTGGCCTTTTTGTTCTCGAGGTAATCTCAATTTCATTTTAGTTTAACGATATGCAAGAGTGAAAATTTGAATATCCGAAGAAGACTCGAATACTTACAAATTTGGATGGATGACAGCCTTCAAAAAGGGTATTTGATGACATGATTAATGAGGTGAGAGTGGGGAGAAAGAACCCAGATGGTGCAGATCAAGGGTTCATTGGCAGCTACTTTCCTGATCTGTTGAACCGGCCAATGTTCTATCCACCATCCAATGGCTCCGTTCTTGGTGGCAACTACAGGCTCCCCTTGGGCTACCAAATGGATGCTTCTTACTATTGTAAGCCCTTCCTTTTACTCTTTCTATTTATTAGGCTTTTTTATATTTATTTTTTCTAATGTTCGTTAGGCCTTTTATAAGTTGAAGAATAATAAATTAGTACTTTTATTTGTTGGGATTCTAAAATTGAAGTAAGTACAAAACAAGAAATTATAAACATAAATTTGTTTATTTTGAAATTGTGTGAGAAATATTCCCTAAAATTGATAAATAAAATGTTAGGAGTCCATATATTTGAAAAGAAAATTAACATATTGAACAAAAGAATAGCGAAATAAGTTACAAATTATTAATTAGTTAAGCTAGGAAGAAATTAACAAGATTGTGACGTGTTCCTATCATTATCTTTTAATTTCATTATACTTAAATCTTAATATAAATGGATTTGTAACACTAATTATCCAATTGAATATTGATTAAAAAATTAAAAAAATGCTGATCCACTCCCTAATTAATAAATAATGTAGATGTTGTATTAACCCAACATGTACTAAATAAAAAAATATCAACTTACCACTCACTCACTATATTTTGATCGCATTCATTAATTAATAAGTGTATTGTAATACAGATTTAAAGTTGCGCTGGAGTATCCCTTGCGGTCCAAACAGTGTAATAACGTATCCAGGAGCATCATGGTTGAAACCATGGTATTGGTGGTCGTGGCCCGTACTACCTCTTGGCCTCCAATGGCACGAGCAACGTCGTCGCACTCTTGGGTAATCTAACTCTCTTTCTCATCCGGTGCATGTAAATGTTTAAAAAATTTATATTTGATATTCCAGTTATTAACGGTTTAAATTTTATTTTAGAAAAATTATCACAATTTTCTATTTTGATCATAATTATAAGTTTAATAAATAGTTGATTAATTCTCTTAAAACTATATCCAACTTAATTTTAAAATTTGCATTTTGCATTTTAATTTTATAATTATTTTTTATATTTATTCTCCAGTGATCTTCAAGAAAAAAAAAATGTAAACAAAATTGAGACCTAACGGATGAATTGTGGACAGGTACGGCGCGGAGATGCCGTTGGTTCTAATCGAAATCTTGCTCTGCCTAGGGATTCTCACCATGATCCGTCTCGCCCGCCCTAATCTCATCAAGCTCTCCCACCGCCGATTGGAAAAGCCCGCCGCCTCCTTCCAACCCGCCCTCAAACTCGCCGCCTTCTGGTCTATCATCGTCGCTTATTCCGTTCCATTCCTCATCATTCCGACCACCATCCACCCGTTCCTCGGCTGGCTCCTCTACTTGCTCGGCTCCTCCACCCTCTCCTTCCTCGCCGCCACTGTCTTCCTCCTCCCGATCCTCTCCGTCCTCGTTCCTTCGGCTGGAATCTTCGGCGTACTTCTAGTGATGGCCTATCCGTGGTACTCTGACGGCGTCGTCAGAGGACTCTGCATTTTTTTATACGCGTTCTGTATCGCGCCGGTCTTGTGGACGGCGGTGGTGAGGATTGCGGCGGCGATTCAGTCGTCGATCGATAGAGATGCATTCTTCGCAGTGAAATCGGGTGAGACTTCGCCGTCTTCTAGGTTTAATAAATGGTGTTGATGATTTGGAATTTGGGACAGATTTTTATTTTTTATTTTATATTTTATTTTGATTTTGATTTTGATTTTTTGATTGTTGGGGGATAGAATTGAAGTGTCGGTTGTATAAGAAAAATGGATTTTATAGGTGGAAAGAAAGTATATAATTCTCACATTCTTGTAATTTGTTTGGAATTTTGTTCATAAATTATAAATAAAATCAAAATTCTCAAAATTTACGTGGAAAAAGAAATTGTTTATCTGGCTCAAGGTCATATTTAGAGAGAATTTTGTATTAATATAATATTTAATTTTCATTAAAATTAAATGTGATAAGATTTTTAGCTAATTTGAATTTAATTGAAATTTTGAATATATATTTATAATATATCTAATATATTAAATACTAAATTCAACTTTTTCAAATTAAATATATATTTTTATTTATATTTAATATATTAAATATTAATTTCAACCTTTTAAATATTTATTTAATTATATTGAACATTTGGATTCTACCACAAGCTTCAATAATACAAAATTAATCAATTTTCATTCTCTTTATAGATCGTTCCACTGTACATCTAAAGTTGTACTCTTTTGCATTGTAATACAAGTTATCCATTGATATAATCATTAAAAGAAAGTTGATCTTTCACAAATTTCGTTCGTATTTACAACTTGGTCAAAAATTTGTTTTATCCTGTAATTACATTTTTTAACCTTAAGTACCACCGTATCTCCAATGAACCATTTGTTTATGATCTAAACATAAACTAAGTCCTCTCGGGCCAATGAGAGGATAGACCCCATTGTTCAAATCCCAAAATCAACCATCAAGGAAATTATTCATCTACTTATCCTATATAAGAAGAAGTGAATTTCATCGGGTGAAGTTATGTTCTCATCTCTCAATTTGGTAAAGTCCCTAAAATGGTAGACATATTGAATTGGCTACAAAAACCATTCCGACTCATGCAAATCAAATGACAAGCCTTCACGGACAAGAGTTCATAAATATGATTATCCTGTCAAAGTTTTTATTTTTATTTTTATTTTTATTTAAACACCTTTAATTTCGAAGGGAGTTTAAACAAAACTTACACATATAAACAAGTAATACAAACACTATCGAGTGTAAGAGCGCGCATGCGTGTATGAGAGAAATCAAGAGAGTACATGATCCAAACCAAAGCAAGCACACAACAAATGAAGTAGAAATAATTTTTTATACTACAAAAAAGTCATATGCAAGGGCACGAGAGATCGAGATAGTGCAAGATTCAAACCAAACTAAATGTACGACAGACAGGATAGAGATCATTTCTGATACTATAGAAATATTGTGTGTATGCGTGCGTGCATGCATGCATGAGAGATCGAGACAATTCACAATTCAAACCAATCCAAACCAAATCAGACGTGCAACAGGGTACAGATCATTTATGATACTACAAAAATATTGAGTGTACGTGCCCATGCATGCATGAAAGATCGAGGCAGTTTACCATTCAAACTAAAGCGTAGGCACAACAGGCAAAGTGAAAGCATTTTTTATACTAGAAAAAAAAAAGTGTCAAGTGCGTGTGCACGGGCACGAGAGATCGAGAGAGTGCAAGATTGAAGCCAAAGCAATGGCACAACAGAGAAGATAGAAGAAATCACTTCTGATACAACAAAAATCTCATGTGTATGTGTGTGTGAGAGAGAGAGATCCATTCCGAGTCCAATAAACATTGAAATTGAACACATGATTATTGGACAAAGTAATTTGTTTGAAACAACAATATTTCTGAGCAAATATGAGAATAAATGGAAGGAAGCACCACAAATTAGAGCATCAAAAGCCTTACCTCACATTATACAGCAATTTGTCTGAGACTCCAACATCTCAGGAGATCTGCAAGCAAATAATATGTTAATTATTGACAGCACAAATAATCAGCTAATTCACAACATGAGAAGAACAAACTCACAATTGTGCGAGATTAGTTAAATCGAAATCAGGTCCCAGCTCTTGCACAATATCATTTGGTGGCTGACCACATTCTTGCATTTTCTGCATCAGCTCGACAATTTTGTCGAAGTTATCGGGTTCGTTTTCATACACGATGTTGAGATCATTTATCAGTTCGTGTTGCTGAGAATAGCGTTCGTAGTCTTCTTTGCTCAAACTTGCTTTATGCTCCTCCAACCATTTGGGATATCTTTCTCCTATTTCCTTCACTGGTTCAAGGAGAATCTCTTTGGATAGAAGCTGTTGCATCATCGTCTCGACCATCGACTCCATGTTCTATGGTTGAAGAAATAGTGCATGTTAGAGTTCATGGTAAGATTTTGATTGGATAAAACACATAAAAACTAGCTACACATAATTCAAATTAGGATCAGAAAAGAGTGATCAAGACTCCATAAAAATGATCCCAAAAAGGGTGCCCCAATGCAATACCCCAACTTAAAACCTTGCCTTTGATGTCTCGGTAGCTGGCCTTGAAGCGAGCGAAACGTTCCAAGAGATTAATGGGAGGATGAGTATCAATGCAAGGAGGGAGATACAATAACCGAGTATCAAAAAAGCCGAATTGAGAACTAGAAGGCGTGCATGTTCCTCTATGGATACCTTCCACCATTTTATGTGTTATCATCTCTGTAACGTTCCAATTGTATCGGATGTCCCCAAACAGACCTAAGCTAAGTGTTATTAATAAAGGAGGAACATTTGGTAGCCGCAGCCAACTCATATTATAACTCATTAATAAAGCAAAGCAGTGATTGATTCCAAAAACAGACTTAATACGTAAAACATTTGAACTCCTTAATACAAATTAAGACTCCATATAACTGCACTATATAAATAGGAATCTAAGGGTCTAAAGGTCGGAAGGAAAAAAGATCTCACATCGGTTGGGGAGGAAAACGGAACACCCTTTATAAGGGTGTGGAAACCTCTCCCTAGCATACGCGTTTTTAAAACCTTAAGAGAAAACTTGAAAGGGAAAGTCCAAAGAGAACAATATCTGCTAGCAGTGGGATTAAGCCGTTACAAGTAGTATCAGAGTCGGACACCGAGCGATGTGCCAGCACGAAGGCTGAGCTCCGAAGGAGGTGGACACGAGGCGTTGTGTCAGCAAGGACGCTGGGCCCGAAGGAGGGAACGAGTGGCAGTGAGGACGCTGGGCCCCGAAGGAGGGTGGATGTTGAAATCCCACGTTAGTTGGGGAGGAGAATGAAACACCCTTTATAAAGGTGTGGAAACCTCACTCTAGTAGATGTGTTTTAAAAATCTTGAGGGAAAGCCCGAAAGGGAAAGTCCAGAGAGGACAATATCGGCTAATGGTGAGTTTGGGCTGTTATACAATAATTGAGGACCTAAAGCAAAATATGAAAGAAGGATAACCAAAAAACATATTGTCCTTCTAAAGGCAATCTTGCAATAAAACAAGTGATATGGAGGTAATTTAAGATAACGGATCAAGAAAGAAGATTCTGATGGGAACAATGGAAACTCCCGGTATCTTTATTCTCTGCACTTCTCTACGAGCATTTGTGGACCAAATAGCATAAAAGTATTCTGAGCATTTGTGGACCAAATAGCATAAAAGTATTCTTAAAAGACCATGAAAAGAGTTTAATCGGCTAAAAGTACTTCCCAGTGTTCAAACTTCATGCCAAACTCACCCTAAGTCAGCATCTAAACCAATAGCATTACAAAACTGTTGAGGATCGTTGGAAGAGGAGTTCCAGCATCCGTTAATTAAGGGATTGATCATGGATTTATATATAAGTAAGGAATACATCTTCATTGGTATGAGGCCTTTTGGGGAAGCCAAAAGTAAAGTCATGAGAGGTTATGCTCAAAGTGGACAATATCATACCATTGTAGAGGGTCGTGATTCCTAACATGGTATTAGAGTCACGCCCTTAACTTAGCTATGTCAATAGGATTCTCAAATGTCGAACAAAGGTGTTGAGACCCTCGAAAGTGTAGTCAAAAGTGACTCAAATGTCGAACAAATGGTGCACTTTGTTTGAGGCTCCAGAGGAGGAGTTGAGGCTTGATTAAGGGGAGGTTATTCGAGGGCTCCATAGGCCTCAGGGGAGGCTCTATGGTGTATTTTGTTCGAGGGGAGGATTGTCGGAAGAGTCCCACATTGACTAATTAAGGGTAGATCATAAGTTCATATATAGGTAAGGAATACATCTCCATTGGTATGAGACTTTTTGGAGAAGTCAAAAGTAAAGTCATGAAAGCTCAAATTGGCACTATCATTCCACTCGGAATGGGGCGTGATTCCTAACCAAAAAAAAAAATTATTATTATGTTCAAGCCACATCAAAACTAGGAAAAGTATTTCCATTAAAGGCCAAATTCAACATTGAAAAGTTCCAAAGGCTTTTCAAGCAATGTACCTGAGAGCCAGCCATCTCCTCGAACTGCTTCACCCAATCTTCCATCAAAGCATCTTGATCAAAATCATCACCACCAGCTTTAGGGCCAGTGACCGATTCAAGCCCCTTGACGGCCTCTCTGGTCTGTTCTCTAAGCTTATCAAGAGCCTCAGACACATGCGATTCCTTCGAAACCTTCTGCTTCCCTTTTTTCATGCTCCTCAAGTCAGGCAAACCCATCCCTAAACCTTGAACCCCAGAAGGAAGAGCCCCTCTACTCTCCGCCCCATCTCCATTTCTACAAGACCACACAACTAAAAACATCAAGAATCCAACTAAATACGCTACAAAACAAAGCTTCCAACACAGAAATTGATTGATATAAACCTCGAAATGGAATGGTTAAGGTCGATTTTCTGAAAATCGTTCAAAGCACCTGAGACAATCCGAGACAAATTCATAACAAACATGAAGAAAAACGTTAAAAAAATGGAAACCCACTACGTATTGCATGAAGTTTGAAGGCATACTGTCAAGAAGTTCGTGTAAATCATCGGAATGGTCGGCCATAGATGAAAATTAAACTGGATTTCGAAGATTTTGCTCTGTTTCTATCGTTTTATCCCAGTTTCGAGAGTGAATGCCGCGGAGGACTGGGCAATGGGTCTTCGTGAAACAAATCGGCTGGGGATTGCGAGCGACAGATTCTCAGAATGGCGGTGTAACCAACGCAATGTGCAAAATTGTTCGTCAGCAAATCGATCTGACGGTTGCCATTCGATACTGGGTTTGACTCGTTGACCCTAAACCCATCGCCAAGTTCCGACTGCGGACCGGTGATAAGGTGAAAATTTGGCAATAATTTAAATAATATTTAATTTTTATTATTTTAATATTTTTTAAAAAGGCTAAATTAATAAATAACCATAAATTTTAATGTCTAAAAAGAATATTCTTCTACTTTCGAAAAGATTCAAATGACATCCTTACATTTAAAATGAAAATTAAATAAAAATCTTTTAAAACTTAAATACATATATATTATATATAGTTATATAGTTATAATTATATATGGTTATATCGGGTAAAACTATATATAGTAAACCGAATCACAAATATACTCATTTACTCTTTGGAATATATTTTATGCATTCTCTGTATTATCCTTGTTGTGCATCTATGTCGAGTGTGTGAGTTGTACAGTCCTAGCAAATGTTCAAATAAAAATTAATAATAATAATATAATAATAATTATCTGTTTCAACTAATTGTGTCTCCATTTTTCAATATCTTATCCATAAAAATACCGAAACTATGAGATCAAAGTATACTAAGAGGTCTCGTATGTATTGGTTAGTATATCCAAATTTTTGAAGATACATGTGTTGGATGATGAAAGTTCCACATCGGCTAAATTAGGGAATGATCATGGGTCGGCTAAGTTAGAGAATGATCATGGGTTTGTAAACAAATAATACTTTCTCCATTCGTATGAGGCCTTTTGGGGAAGCCCAAAGCAAAGCCATGAGAGCTTAGGCTCAAAGTGGATAATATCATACCATTGTGGAGAGTCGTGTTCGTCTAATATGGTATTAGAGCGATGCCCTAAACTTAGTCGTGCCAATAGATTGGTAACTCCTCAAATATCGAACAGACGACTCCAAAAGAAAATGAGTCAAGCCTCCTTGAAGGCAGTAAAAAAATGATTAAGACTCCAAAGGAGTCGAGCCTCGATTAAGGAGATGCGCACTTTGTTCGAGGGGAGGTGTTGGACGATGAAAGTCCCACATGGACTAAGTTAGGGAATGATCCTGTGTTTATAAACAAAGAATACTTTATCCATTGGTATGAGGTCTTTTGGGGCTTTCTCCATTGGTACGAGGTCTCTTGGGTGCCGCTAATTGTGGAGAGTCGTGTTAATTAATAATATTTATAAAAAAAAAACTCAATTTTTTTAGTTTAATTTCATAAATTTTGAATTTATTAATGAAAATAAAGTATAATGAAGAAAATGTATACACTACCGCCGCAGCAGCCGCATCAGCGAAGGTCATTCGGGTCCGCTCGTGGGAGTGGATATTTACACAACCAGTAGGAGTCACACACGGGCACAAACAAGCCTTCAATGGCTGCCGCTATGTCGCCGGCCGTTTCTCTCCGCTTCAATCCCTATTCAGCTCTCCGTTTCATCACCAGATTCCCTAAAAAACTACCACCGCACATTCTTTTCCCGCCAATTTCCCGCCGCCACTCTTCTGACTATTTCCGGCGAAGTTTTCGCACTGCCGTCTCTGCAGCTCTCTCATCCGGGGAAGCTACGGGGAAGACGAAACCTGAAGTTTCTGATGTTTGGAAGGCCTCGCTAGGGGAGAAGGTTGGGGAATTCAGAAAGAAGCTGAGGATATCTGAAGTCAAGGGCGGCCTCGATGAAGGGCTGGATAGAGTCGGACAGACGCTCATCGTGAAGGGATGGGTTCGAACTCTCCGGGTTCAGAGCAGCGTTACGTTCATGGAGGTAAGGTCAGCCTATTCGTGATGTGATGCGGATTAGTTTGGAGGCTGAGAAATGCAGGATAGGAAGTTTGAGATTTTCTTTTCTATTTCCTTATCCGAATCATTTTCATTCATGTGGTGGTAAATTCTGAATGAAAAACTGGAAGATAAGATTGCATTAACCATATGAGAATTGGCTTGATAATTCTTGGCCAGTCTAGTATTCTTAAGTTGTTGTGAAAAATCGCACGGCATCGTTGAATGAAAACACCGTCGAATCGCATCATGGAGCTTCTGTTATTAGCACAGTCGTAAATTTTTTTAAAGCTCTGTTTTGGTTCCATGATGATTTTATTGGTTTTAGCAATAACAAATTTAAGAGATTGGGGATATGAAACAGAGCCATCATTGACATTAATTTCAAATGGGGCAAAAGAAAAAAGTGGAAATATAAAAGTTGCAGTTTTAGACACGGGATTGGATATGGATTGTTGGAAGAATAAATATTGTTTTGTATCGTGATTATCTTATTGCCTCGTTTTTTCTTGCGCTTAGGTAAATGATGGCTCATGCATTTCAAATATGCAATGTGTCATGGATTCAACTACAGAAGGTTATGATCAGGTATTCAAGTCAGCTAAATCTGGTACTTAAATAGTTGTTGAACTCTGCTTATTCTTTTTTTCTTCTTTAATAAGCAATGTCAATAGCCAGAATATCCGTCTTTTGAACCTAAGAAACTATCTTGTAGATATTGAACTTCGAATCAAAATGAAACAAAATAATACACAAGAAGGCTAGAGTATATAGGAAACTGTTTGGGGTTTGAAATATGCATATTTTTTGTTCTATAACTAACTTGCCTGATTGATAGAGTGATCAATCTTCTCTCTTTCATTTTCATTTTGGTGGTTGATATTTTTGGAGGATGATCGTGAAAGCTGTTAACTAACAGTTGGCAATGGAGAATGCAGTTATCTATGCACTTACCATTTATTTAGATGATCATTTTATTTTCCTTGTGACGACTTTTTTTAAAAAAGAAAGGCAATTTTGAAGATCTACAGGTATCTGAACGAACTGTTTTCTTTTTTTGCTCCTTGGAATTTTGTAGTCGAGAGAGTTAATAAGGATAACAAAAAGAGGCTCCATCAACTGTAGTAGACAATTACAAAAGAAGTTATATCATGGACACCGAGAGAGGCATTAGGATTTCTTTTAATAGGTATTTTCTTGTCTCTGTGGTCTTATTCCAGTTTTGGAGTTTGATGGCAGGTTGAATCAGGCTTGATTGCAACTGGTGCATCAGTCTGGGTGCAAGGGGTCGTGGTTGCCAGCCAAGGATCAAAACAAAAAGTGGAACTGAAACTCCAAAAAGTTGTTATGGTTAGTACTTCTCATCCTTTTTTCTCAAGTAGTTTTGGCTACAATCATTTTTCCTGATCACGAACTGCAGTATTTGCTCATATAATACATACATCCAGAAAAACGGTGATATATAATTTGAACGGCACAAGAAAAAGAATAATGCATATATGCAAGTATTAGTACAAGGTATTAGTACGTTGGATTAACTTCATTGAAAGGCGGTGACCATATTCATATGCTTTCGGAAGGAACCTAGAAAGAATGAAACAATTGCTAAGGGTCCATTGGACAACCATTTCTATTTTCGACTTAAAATTTTTACATTAGAAAGTTATTGAATAATGCCTTTTTCATTGTGAAATTTAAAATTGAAAAAATCAATGTTGCTTTGTTTTGACTTTTATAATGGATTATTCAAATGGACAGGCAAGAGTGTAAGAGGAAATTATATTTGAAGAAAGAAAAGCAGGGGAAAGCATGTATGGAGACACATTAGTGATAGAAAGTGTGTATAAAGGAATGGAGATGCGTACAAAATTAATAGGAAAAATGTGAGTTGAGAGAAGATAATAAGATAAAATTCATGGGTAAAGAGAGATTGGTAAGAGAAGGGCTACGTTATTGGAATAAAATTCTGTGTCCCTTAAAAAAATCTAAGATATCAAAAACATTTTTGAAGAATGGAAAAGAATAGCTATCAAACATATTTGATTTTAAGAAAAGTGAAAGTTAGAAATGGAACGGTCTTCAAATAAGCTTGGATACTTGCATCAATAATTTGCTCTTTTCCTTTGTCAATACATAAAAATGGCAAACACAGTTTCTTTTAATGAAGTAAAAGTTGAGATATTGAATTTACTTTCACACTCTATTAATGGCTGATAAATTATATTTGATATCATGTACTTAGACTGCATCATAGATGTTCAAATTCAGAAAACATTTCCCCTTGTGTTAATATTTTCTGTATTTCAGGTTGGCAAGAGTGATCCTTCCTATCCCGTCCAAAAGAAAAGAGTTAGCAGAGAATTTTTGAGAACCAAAGCTCATCTTCGTCCAAGAACAAACACCTTTGGGGCGGTATTGTTCTGTTTTTTTTTTTTTTTTATAGTATAGATTCTAGAATACAAGGCTAGGGTGCTACTCCTGATATTCATGAAAAATAAAGGTTTCAATTGTCTAATTCACCAAAATGAACAATTTTGACATCATGGAAAATTTAGGGATGAATGGAAATCTTAAACTTTTTGTGCTTTCTGATGTAGTGAATCAATGGATCAAATGTCTCAATCTTTGTTTTTTTTTGGGGGGGGTTAAAATGTTGGAAGTAACATTCTCAAAGAACATCTTTTCCTGGTGAAGATATTGATGAAACCAAAGGAGACACAAGGACATCCTCTTTTCATACGTCCTAATGATTTGAATTGTTGGATATCATTTTTTCATGGCGCTTGTATTATTCTTGGATCTTTCATAGGTTGGGAAAAGAAAACACGACATGTTTACTTTGTTGACATAGATTTAGAGGGAAAAGTAAATCGACAGATGAATTATGTGAAAGCATTTGTACGGAATTTGTGTTTGGAAATGAATTCTTGCCTCTTTAATAAAAGTAAGGAAAATGGATGAGGTGTTTGGCTTGGAAATTTTTTTATGCACTTTTTGTCTAATTAACTCAAATATAAGTGCCTTTATGTTAACTTTTAAAGGGAGGTTGCCTCGTCAATATATGTATGTATATGTATATGTATATCTATCTATCTATATATATATGTATGTATGTATATATGTAGAAAAAGTTTGTTTCCCTCCTAAGTTTTCCGTTAGAAGATCTTTTAATTTTGCTTTGCCTCCTCCGGTTGGAGATTATATATGGATTTCCTCTATGCTACTTAATTGTCACGTTCTTGTTTCCTGAAAATTGATAACTGATCAAAATAATTAGTCAGACAAAATTTATGTACTGCCTTTTGTTTAACAATTTTTATGAACGGTTGTCTAATCAATCAGTTTGAATATTATGGTGTGGTATAGGTTGCAAGGGTGAGGAATGTTTTGGCATACGCTACGCACAAGTTCTTCCAAGAAAATGGATTTGTTTGGGTTTCAAGTCCTATTATTACAGCATCAGATTGTGAAGGAGCTGGTGAACAGTTCTGCGTGACTACTTTGGTAGGGTCTAAACTTAGAAAAGCCTGGAATTTGTATGTTCTATACAATATTGTTGTGGAACATTAGTTTTTTTTTTTTTTTTTTTAAAAAGAAACTTTTTCTGATGGTGACAGATCCCAAGCTCTGGGGAAGCTGCTAATTCTGATGTGGGCTCCATTCCAAAGACAAAAGAGGGGTTTATTGATTGGTCACAGGTGAGTTATTTTGCTAACTTAGGAAACAAGCCTTGAATCTAGTTATATTATTTGTCAACCATCTTTTTGATTCTTACCGATGAAATTTATGGAAGATGTTAATGAGTTATTTCCAGACACTCTCTTTGAAACTTCTCCGTATTATTTTCTTTGCAAGCATTTAATTTATTCCTTTTCCATTTTTGTTTAAGGATTTTTTCGGGAAACCAGCATTCTTGACTGTCTCAGGGCAACTCAACGCTGAAACTTATGCTACTGCTCTCTCTGATGTATAATTTTTCTCCATTACTGGTTCTTGTTTAGACACGATGGTGGAATTAATGCAAACTGCTAATACTTTGTTCTCAAATCTTTCACAGGTTTATACTTTTGGACCGACATTTAGAGCAGAAAATTCCAATACATCTAGACATTTAGCTGAATTTTGGGTAACTAGTTTCGCATTTGTTTAATTTCCTACCAAGGTCAGTTCTGCAAGTTTTCATATGTGATAAGAAGCATCTTAAAGCAACTCTTTTACTTTATTTTTTAGATGATTGAACCAGAACTTGCATTTGCTGATTTGGATGACGACATGGCTTGTGCAACTGCATATCTCCAGTATGTAGTACGTTACCTTTCATGACTATTGTATTGTCTTAGGTTGTACTTGATTGACAAATATTTGGAAAGCTTTGATTACTTAATTTCAGAGTAACTAAAGCTTTTATTTCTAGGTGAGACATATTCTTGAAAATTGCAAGGAAGACTTGGATTTCTTCAATACATGGATTGAGAAAGGAATTATTGATCGACTGACGGTAGGAACTCTTACCATTACTTCTAGATCGTTAACAGTTATTTTCTTTATATGTAGTGTCTGTTGAAACTTTATTTACATCTATCATCTATGCCAATTTACCATTGCCATAAATTTTTCGATTTTTGTGTGCTCTGCAGGACCTGGTTGAAAAAGATTTTGTGCAGTTGACGTATACAGATGCAGTTGAGCTTCTTCTTCGAGCAAATAAGAAGTTCGAATTTCCGGTAGTGCCCACTAGTTTTATTACACTGAGCTATAGAAGTTCTGGTTCCATCTTGCACTCATTTCTCTATGATTCTATATATTGCACATTGGTAAATATATTCTGATAGAGTCCGTTTATTTATTTAGAGATGAACATACTCTATGATTAGATAATTTGAGAGGTATCTAGTTCTCTTGACTCGGTGCCCTCTCTCAACCATGATTTCCTTCAAAACACTAACTGAGGTCACTCCTTTTTCAATCATGATTAGTCAAAGTGGACATGCAATCATTCTAACTACGCAGCAGATATATCCCTACCCTTCTTATGACCATACACTTACATAACAAATGGCCTATTCCATCCAATTCCTTACTGGGAACAAACTGTTTTAAAGGATTCTTTTGTTGAATATTACTTAAATTTATTTGTTTATTTCTTACTAATCTAGTTTTGGTTCATTTCTTCCCAATCTAGTTTAGTTTTGGTTCATTTCTTCCCAATCTAGTTTAGTTTTGGTGAATTATAGCCTTGATATGCGAGGCAAGTTGCTTTCGTGAGTGTTATCGCTTGTTCTTCCCTCTCAATTTTTTTTTAATATTATCGGGCCAAGTTGAAAAATGATATCAGATGTAACTGTCCTTGTTTTTTTACCATGTTACACACTTGGGAATCTCTGCCTTATCATTGGTGCTAATAAATCAAATGGCCAAGTATAGTAATTGCTGTGGCCATTGCTATGTTGATCTCAAATTTTCTAAAATTTTCTTAGGTCAAGTGGGGTAGTGATTTACAAAGCGAACATGAGCGTTATATAACTGAAGAGGCATTTGGTGGATGCCCTGTAATAATCAGAGACTATCCAAAGGTATGCTTTTCTTTTTGTTTCTAATCTTCCGAATATTGATCAAAGAAATTACACTGATTTTGCCAATTGATGTAAAATTATAGGAGATAAAAGCATTCTACATGCGGCAAAATGATGATGGAAAGACTGTTGCGGCCATGGATATGTTGGTTCCTCGGGTAATGTTAAAGTTATAATTCCAATATATCTCTTTACCTTCCAATGGGAATGTGTTGTCTTTTTATCGTGTAACTTTTTGAAGGAACTGACTTCCAGGCATCAGCTTAGAAACAGTATGAATAGTTGGGAGAAAAGTCCAGTGGGTTATGTGGTTTCCAATTTTTGACTCTTATGCAGTCGTCTTTCCCGTTTTCACTTGGTTCTTTAACTCTAGCGTTTGAGATGGAGATCCCTTTTTCATACCATTGATTGTTTCTACGCTAAAATACTATCCTTGTATTGTAAAAGACCGGGAATGCGAGGATAGTGTAAAGGCCGTGAATGCGAGGAAAGTTTTTTTTTTTTTTTTTTTCTTCTGGTATACATATAACAATACGCACAAGTAATTGTTGCAATTTGAGTCAATAATTGATGCAATATGCAAGCCATTTCTACAACTGATCATCATCTTCATTGTCATGTGGGGCTGCCTTCTCTCGATTCAACATACCTTAATTTTTGTTATTGTGTCGAGCAAATTTATTTGTTATGGGTTCTACATTACAGTTGGTTTGTTTGATTAATTGACGTTCAGGTACTTATTGTATTTGAGAAAGAATACTTGATTGTATTCAAAATTTGGCAGCATGTTATTATCCACTGACCATTAATAATGTCCAAAAGAAGTTAGTACTTTTCTCTGATTTTTTCTCCAATTTATTATGTGACGATGGTGTGGGTATAGCTATAACTAATCTAGTAGCTTTCCGAGAGCATTTCTATGGACATGCAATTAAATGTTAATAATTTATTTTTCTTGTGATCACTTCTAAATAGGAGAGAGACTTCTTTTATTCTACAAATTCTTCTTGTTAAAGTGAAGGTACCATATAAAGTTCTAATGCTCTTTTCTTTTTCCCCAACTCTCTCGCTTCAGATAGGGGAGCTTATAGGTGGAAGTCAAAGAGAAGAACGGCTTGATTATCTGGAAGCTCGTCTGGATGAGTTGAAGCTCAATAAAGACAGCTACTGGTGGTACCTTGACTTGCGTCGTTATGGTTCAGGTTAGAGCTGAAGCCCTCATGGTTGTGATATTAAGTTTGTTTTGTGATTAAAGGAAAAAAGGGCAAAAATGAAACAAGGAAAAACGTTTTACTTCATAGAATAATGATGTGTGTACGTGTGTGTGAGTGTTTGTGTGTGGATGTGTGTATTTTCCATTTTTCAATAAGGATAAAAGATAGGGGCATTAGAAAAAAGAACTGCCCTAACAAAGGATCCAAAGAAACAAAACAAAAGCAAATTACAAAAAGTTGAAACCTTCTGGACAAATGCTAAGAGAGGCGCTGAATGTATCACATTTGAAACCTCCTCTTAAGAACGCTCTAATTTAATCTCTCAAGCTAAGTATTCTATAAGATAGCAAAAAAAAAAAAAAAAACATTTGAAGAACCTGACCCCTTTCCTAACAAATTCCCTCCACCAAAAGATCCTTTCATTCTCTGATAGATAGGGCTGAAAGAATGGTGGGGACAAAAAGGATAGGACGTGATTGTCATTAGTAGGAGTCCGAGAGTTTGCCTACACGAGTCATTCATATTTGGAATGAGACAAATAATCAGGAATTCAATATCGAAAGAAAATTAGGTAAAATGCGGAATCTGTTTCTTAATTCAATTGAATCTTATATAAGCTATCACTGAAATTTCAAAACTCATCACTTTCGTTAAAGCTACCTATTTGAGGACGAGATAGCAAGGTGGTCTTTTGATTTCTTCACCGTATACAAGCCAAGACTGCCTATTTTGTGGTGGTGGTGAGGGGAGTAAAAAAAGACGAGATCATCTAAAGCCTGAAAATTTTTCACCACCGGTGATGAATCTATGTCGATTTCTTAGCTAGGAAGCAGAATTATATAGTTAGTTTTTGTAGGAAGGTGAAATAATTTGCACAAACTACTTTTTTTTGGCATCAAATTTACAGCTGGGTTAGTAAGAGGATGGTGTAGGCAATAATCATTCTTGAGAGCATATGGCATATGTGATAGTTTTGGTATTAATTTCAAGTATGAACTCCAGTGCCTTGAAAAGAAAGAAAGGAGAGAAATGTTTACATTGTAACCAAACCTCCTTGTGTTTCAGTTCCCCATGCAGGGTTTGGTTTGGGCTTTGAAAGGCTTGTGCAATTTGTTACTGGAATTGATAACATAAGAGATGCCATCCCATTTCCTCGTTCGCCTGGTTCTGCAGAATTTTAATGGCAAAATTGTTCAGTAACATTATCTTAGTTTTACTCGATTCTTTTATTTAACACCCTTCCCCCCTCTTTATGGAACATGTTCTTCCTGCTCTTCATCTTTGTATTTCCATTACGTTGACACTTGACATTGAGAAAACACTGTTCTATAAGTCTGAAGGTTACAAAACTTATGTTGCATTTATTCTATACATTGTAATAAATCATTTTTCACATATAACTAATGGGTTGAATCAAATGCTTTTTCAAGCTCAATATTATTCTTAAAACTTTTACGAAGTTGTTATTTATACCATATTTGTAAAATTACAATACATTTTGGACACGTAAAAAGTTTTTTAATATTAAGTGATGGATGTGTAAGAAAGTCACGGTGTGATATTGATATTGAGTAAAATTTGAGCGATGAAATAGAAAAAAATATCAAGAACAAAAGTTTTTTTCTTTGGAGTTTGACTACATGAAGTAGTGGGACATTTCATAGTTGAGTGTGTGTATATATATATATATAGTTGAGTATATAATATGTACATATACATGTTAAAAGTAGCAGTTTTAGTCTTGTTTCTTAAGTTTAAAATTGGTTTCTAATTGATATTAGAATATACAAAATAAAATAAAATTGGCAAGTATTGGTCTTAAGAACCAGCTAAATTGGCAAAAATGTATTTTCCACTTAGAAAAATGTTTTAAGAATACTCCATGATTCTCATCCATTTTGCTTCCAAGAAAATTGCAATTATAAGGAATTCATGGGGCCAACCACTAAATTACTATAATTAACGGACTAAAAATTATAAAAAAGGAGAGAAGCAAATCATCTTATTCTTCACAATTCAGTACATTTTCCCATCTTGATGATCAATTTGAAGCACCTTAAGGGCCATTTTCTAGTTTCAGAAAAAACAGGGGGAGGGGGAAAAAAAAATAAACAAATGAACTGTACAGTGGTGCCAAGCAAGGCCTTCTTCTGTCTTTGCTTTAATGTAAAATACTAGCTGCTCCAGAAGTATCGTACGTTGGAACTCCTAGGAGAATAAAATGAACCGACTGACATCTGAGCATAAACATACAGAGATTTGTCGACTATATTTGTGTTCACAAATTTCAGGGTTGGGAACAAAGAAATTTCAGAGAAAACAAAAAGGGCACATCCTTTCTGAGGACTGCTTTTAATGAACTCTATATATTCTGGTGCACGACTGACCTTTTTATGTGGGAGAGATGCAGGCACGGCGTTTGTTGCATATGATGAGTATCTGTGTGGATCAACTAAGGAACAAAACTTGGTATTTACATGTTAACTACTTAAAGTTCCACCTCATGGAGGTCATCTCCCATGCCACCACCACCACCACCATTCATCAGCGTGTGCACCGAGGGTGGTGGTTCACTCGGCATAAAAGATGATGGGGGTATGCCCAATGCTTCACCTAGAGGTTTAAGTCCCGTTGGTTTACGAGGGGGGCTAAGGGCATCACTGAAGTTTGCACCACTCCATGATGCGGTTCGTCGGGAGTTGGCTACTAACGGACCGTTGCCACTTCTATTTGCACCATTGTTTGACATGTTTCCCATGCTAGGAAACCTTTGCATAGGCATAGTAGTTGATGAGGGAGTAGAAAATGAATCGTTTGTGGTGGATGTTGAAGGATGTTCACTGGTCGTGGTGTCCTCCCGAGAGGGTTCTTGTATCGTATCCTCTGTAGGTTCAGTTGACATTGCGGGACTTGGAACAAAGAATTTCGCATTGGCAGCAACCTTTGGCTTAATTGATGGGACGGGAGGCGACTGAAACAAGTTGGCTGAGCTCCCATTGCCTTGGTTGAAGGTGTCAACGTACCTAACAAAACCACACAAGTGCTGAGTTTGGATCATGTTCTTCATTCAATAACTAAAAAAACGGGACAAATGTCGACTTTTAACATAATATTTCATTTATGAACTAAGAAGGGAAAACAAGCCAAGAGAGAAATTAAATCACTTTCCTACATTAGTACATTTTTTCCTTTGTTTTCATTCTTTTGATGGAGATCAGTATGTCCACAAATAAATGATCTTGAAAATTCACCAAATAGCAAGTAAATCCTAGATACAACCACACCATTTCAAAGCCTCACTATGTTTATGGTACTCCATTAGCAAAAATAAATAAACAATCTATACCACTGACTTGATGTTCACTGTTCATAAAGGAGAGCCATTACCAGGAAATCAGAGACCCCTAAAAACAAACCGCAGGACAAAATTTACTAATCTTGTTCCCATAAAACATATGCTACTTGACCTTATTAGACCTCTAGAATTCATTCCTACAACATTCCATGCATTAGATTCCCAATAATCCCATTCCCATTCCTAACCGCCAAATGTTTAACTGGTTTGTCTCTAACCAACTTGCATTTCTAGTGCCCAAACTATGCACCCTAGGTGAATACAATGCCTGACAGTTCTCGCGAAGTATTCATTTAACTATACATTCACTGGTTAGTTTCATGAACCTAAGACAAAATATCCAACTATTTCGTTATTTCCCCACTCCTCTCCTTTCTATTAATTTGAATAATAACCGAACGTTCCATTCTATAATAATCCCCTTTGGCCATTACAAGGTCACACTGTTGACAGAAATTATAAACCAACCCACAATATCACTAACTGTAACCATTTTAATAAGTTTCAAGGAGTCTCCCTAATGTTGAGTTTCAAGAAGCCCACTAAATGTGAAACGAGAAAAAATATTTTACACTAAATGAAATTGTGAATTAATTAAACATTGAAGTAGTACCTTGAACGAACACCCATCCGTCCACGAGCTGAGAATTGGTTTGAACTTGGTGGGATCGGGGGGATTCCGGAACTATTTTCTACAGGAGTAGGATTGGCGGTTGGAAACTCCACATTTCCATCACTGGATGGTGCTTCTTTCTTTAGTACAGATTTCAAGTTGTAATCAGTTCCACCGTTCTGGAATGTCGTCGTTGTAGGAGGTGGTGGTAGGGCTGCCTCTTCTGCAGGAGATTCAACGCCTTCCTCAACCCATCTCTTCAGCTTTTCATCATAATAAAATTTATTCTTCTCACCCAATTTGGCCTTCAGTAATACAACCCCAAAAAAGAAAAAAAACAAAGTTATTTGACGGATAGAAAAGATACTCGCAACCAGATTGGGTTAAAAAAAAAACAAAGATCTAATGAGGAAAACCTAAAAAATCTGATATGTAACAACCTGCCGATCCGCACGAGGCCCCAAGACTAATCCAACAGTCTTTTGCAATAATTGTGAACCAAAACCAAAACGAGCAAAACGAGATGCTCTTGAATCTGATGTTTTTCCTTGACCATCAGCTGAAATTGATTCCTTTGAAGAACTGCTATGATTCTGCTGCAAATAATAGAATTGATCAACTGATCCAGTCGATAATTATTAATTTTTTCAGCAGTGACAGGCAGAAAATGAAAATTACAAACACCACACCTGTCTTGGAGTTCTGCCAAAATCTGGCTCTGAAACACTCCTGTTCGAAACTGTCATTTTACTGCTATCGGTAGTCCACTCACTTATGGGTTCCATAGAAGCAGATGGAATTAAGGATGACATTGCCATTGTTGACTGACTAGTTGATACTCTGGGGACTACTGGTTCGTGATAATGTTCATTACCATGTGAGTTTGATGGTGCAGGAGGTGGTAACCCCCCAACAACACGATGTGCAGTACTGTCAAAAAAGTTGAGCAATTTTCCTACTAATTTTCCAGGGGCTAAATTAGCTGTATATCCACCCTGAGAGTTGTGTGCAAATCGTATGAACATTTGTTATAACTGCCTTCAATAGTTTATGTCTAAATCAATGAAACAAAAAGTGGGATAAATACCTGTTGATGTGCTCTAATCCTCTCATCAAGAGAAAACAGCAGCTGCTTCCACGTTTCAACTTCAGGTGCACGGCCAGTTTTAAGTGACTTCAAAACTGCTTGGCAGTACCTGATTCAAATTCCACAGTATCGTGATATTTTTGCTGAATTTGAAAAATCATAAAATTCAAACAAATCCTAAAATCATCAGTCATGGTGATAAGGAACCTTGATAGTCTATTTGGCCACTGTCAAAGGACTAGATGACACTGGAACAGAATTTTTTTATTGATTGTAGTTTTAATATTTAATTGTGTCCAATTCATCACAATAGATGTTTTTTTCCTTATTTATTTATTTTTTACAAGAAATGTAGCATGATGGATAGTATTCTTCAGCAAAATTCTTTAGATAAACAATATGGTCTTATAATCCGGAATAAATAGGCTTACTCTTCAATTGAATTAAAATTATAATCCAAAGTCAACCACAGATTAGTTTTGTTTGGAAAATCTGAAAATCTAGACATGATTGCCATGTCATAAGAAAAAAAGAAGATTAGGGGAAGAAGAACAAGTCTTTTGTAGTGAACATATTTGCTCATTTTGACTACTTAATCATATTATCATGTTTTATCATACTAACTACTCTACCTCGGAGTTCATTCTCCAGAGCTCCATTTTAATCATTAGCTGGATTCTTTCCAATCTTCTTAGTTTATGCTTTTCACTGGGGTACTAATGTTAGAGCTTTTCAGGGGTCCTCAAGGCATTTTTAAGTGAAATTGAATAAGTTACTTCCTATTTCAAATTTTTAACTTCAAGATGGTTCTTCCCCTCTCTCTCTCTCTCTCTCTCTCTCTCTTTTTCTTTTGGTTTGGAGAGACATTTCGAGAGCTCTTTCAAATGATCTCGGTTAGTCGTAGAGACTAAGAGGATCTTCATCTTCTCCTTTTAAATTTTTGTTTTCTTATTTGATATATAATCCTCATCCAAAGGAAAAAAAAAATGTAAAACCAGTTAAGGCACTTACTTCAATGAGTCTGAAACTTTCCCCACTTCCGCTAACATGTAAGCATATATGAGCTTATATGGCTGAAATGGTAGAAGGATAAACTGAGAATTTCCAAGAACTTTGGAGTACTCGTATAATTCAGTTCTCTGTTCAGATATAGAAAAGTTTGTAAGCATATATGAACTTATATGGCTGAAATGGTAGAAGAATAAACTGAGAGTTTTCAAGAACTTTGGAGTAGTATAATTCGGTTCTCTGTCTAGATATAGAAAAGTAAATTCTGTAGAAACTTCTAAAGTTATACCAAAAGAATAAAAGGAAATAAGTGTGTACAAGTACAGAGCGTTTGGGAATAATAGTGAAACAGCACTGGTAAGATACGCAAGAAAGGAAAATTTCAATACAGCAAATGCTAGAGAGGAGGGAATCCGACATTGTATAAATAAGAAACTTGGACACATATGAATATGACAAGAACGAAGAGACTTGTTATTTTCTAAAAATCTAGGATACATGTATGACAAGGAAAAAGACATTAGAGTACATGTTATTAACTAAATATTTTCTTTATACAAGAATGAAGTCTGAAGTCAATCATTTTTGTGTCTTATATTTCTATTCTATGTCAAATTCTAAAAATAAATAAACAAAAGTTTGAACACTCTTTGCTCATGCGTCTGATAATTGTTTGTCTTATAGCTACAGAGTATCCTGTTATTGTGATAATAAGTGTTCAAGACATGCCCAACAAGTGTCATACTAGGAACTTAAGTGTTTGACTGATTGCACTTCATGTAATATATCTAATGAATACCTGAATAGCCTCTGGGCTAGCATAGGTTCGAGGAAATTTCCAGTGATCAGCTCCAATAAGACAGAGTCTAGCACTGTCCGAATATGACTCAAAGTTTGCCTCCGCAACTAAATAGCAAATGTGAGCAGCAGTTATCTGAAAATGTTGCCCAGCCACAATTAAGGTTACAAGACATTCAATAACAACATCAATCACAAACATTTTTCAGAAAGAATCTGACCTCACTCCTTTCTTTCCATAAGGAGTCTCCAAGATGAATAATTACAAGTTCATCATCTTTTGTCCTGTTGGCAGTTATCACTGCTAAATTTTCTTCCCAATCATCCAGCATACTATTTGCAGAAAACTGTGAATACGACCCAGAGAACAACACATGAGCTTGTAAGGCAAATACCCAAAAGATTACGTCATATATCCTGAAAAACTAAGAAAAATTGATCTTCTCCACACATCTAGCTCAACAGTCACTGAGACTGCTCTCCGATTATTGAGTTGGTTTCCATTTCATGAAGAGGGGAAAAAAATACTATCCATTATAGCACCATAATTGAATTAAGGGATAAGACATGACAGCAACAATGCTGAATATATTTTACTACGCAAATCATCTTGACCCTACATCACCTGTGAAGAATTTTGAGCCATGCTACCACCCAGAGGATTGATGCTAGACGTTGTATCTGTAGAAAAAACTTCAGCAGGTTGTCCAGCAATAAGCAGGCATAGAGTCCGCAAAGGTGATCCAGCTACCAACTGCTTAAGAGCCATTTGCTTCACAGTATCAATGTAAAACTGCAAAATTCAATAAGCCAGCTTACATATAAGAATTAAAAAGAGGAGTTTTCACCAGAATCCAAGATATACTCTAAAAAGGATAAGTCGCAAAGACAATCCACAGGGAAAAAAAGAAAAAAAAGAAAAACAAACCTGGTCACCAAGTTGTGAAGCAAGAACAAGGGCAGGTCCCCATAACTGACCTTCTTGTGCACATTGTAAAGCCTCTTTCTTTCTACCGGATACAAGATAACTCTGAACCTCAGAAGCAGTTGCCTAGGACATGCACCAAAAAAATGTTACATCACCCAGAAGATAACCTTGTTATCATGTATTTGTTTGAGAAAGCATTATGAATTGATACCCGCATTTGTCCTTCAGAAGGCAATGTCTGCAAGCAGTGGCGGCTAAGAGAATGATAGTTATTGAATTGTACGTTATTCATCTTAGCAGAAGCAAAAAGAGTGGCAACTGCTGATTCTGGATTATCACTTTCCTGATAAAAGTACAAAAACAAATTAGGATGAAATGCCGTTGACCTCAAGTGTTCATTAAAGAACAGAAACTGGAACATTTCCCATAGGCATAATGTAAGGATAACTCAGACAGATGCAACAATAAGTTGAAATCAACCAAAGGGAATTCTAGAACAAAACTATGAGAAAGAGATCTGCACAAGAAACTAGACCTTTAATTCAAGGAATAATTAAATATATACAAGTCCACACATTACTCTTTTAAATCAATACTTTGTACGCACATATATTGGTACGAGAGAAAGCTATTTGGAAGAAAAAGCAATAGATGAGAAGTCTGCAAATAAAAAGTAGATTTTTTTTAAAAAAAAATATTAAAGACTCGTAGTACACATTCATAAACGATTGTTTAATAATAGATTGGTGTGTGTGTGTGTGGTGGGTGGGGGGCAGTTTACCCGTAACACAGTGTCTGTGCCAAATGGCGATCGAAGTTTCCCATAATGCTGATATCCTATCTTAAGCAAATTAAGAAGGAGCCTCAATGCTTCGCCTTTTCTGTAATCCATTCCTGATGTTTCACAATTTGCAATCCTTTCATCAATCCATTTCTGTAACTCTTTACTCCCCACACTTCCACCAACCAATGGACCAGGAAAGGACTGTTGGCAAAGAGCACTAAAGTAATTATTTGCACCAACATCATTGCCAAAAGCATTGGCATTAGCGTTACCCATGACAACTTCCATCAAGTTCAAGACAGAAATTGTCCCTCCAACAGGATCCTTCACAAGTAACAAAGACAACTGATCAGAGTAGAGTTGATGCATCCAAATGAATAAATCATAAAAGTTCTTTAATCTAAATATGCAGGTAGTGGGACATGATTAATTTGCTTGTGATGGTGTGATACATATATATTTATATATATCATCGTGAAATATTCAAAACCAGCTCTTGCAACAGAGGATTTTCAAGAAGGAAATGGACAGAGAAAAAAATGAGTCCTAACCTGACTTCCGTAAGTTGAGTTTCCAAATGAGCTGCTGTCTTTCACCACTACAAGTTTACCTCCAAAACCGAATGTTACTAATGCATGTGGAGGACGTCCAGCAGAAGATCTTCCAATATTTGAAGCAAAAGAAGACTGATGACCTCCGTGAAAAGATTGTTTAAGATTAGTCACATGTGTCTGATTGCTATAGTAGTCACTCGATAGAGGCATATGTTCATGCTCCTTTGAATTCTCCTGATGAAACTGATGGCCATAATCCATAGTTGAGGGAAAGCTATTTAAGCTGGTAGGTCCATTGACCTCATTACGACCTTGACTTGGTTGGAAGTATGATGGAACTGTTCCAAAAGAACTAATAGACTTCTGCTGCTCTTTTTTTACAGAAAAATCAGGACTTGTAGACCTATCCAGTACCTGATTTCCACCAAAATTTGGGCCAGCCTGAGATGAAACACTTTCAGTTTGCCAAGTAGTCGAACTCTGTTGATTTTCCTTATGATAAGAGCCTGTCAATTTATCATCGTGGCCTTGATTATCAATACCACTAGATCCATATGTGTTAGGTTGCCCATGAACGCCATAAATACTACTGTTGCTATAATTATAGCTGTTCGGTGATACATACCCGTTGTCATTATCCTGAACATGAACTTCATTAGTTGATTTAATTGATGAATTGTAGGATTCCAAGGAGCACCATACTTGAGCAATTGTGTCATAATACCAACCAGGGTATTGAGGATCAAAATACATATGTTCAGGGTACCCAGTAGTCCCTTGTGATACCTGATTAAAGTTAGAAACATCATCTGTCGTGCTAGTCTCAGTTACAGTCCCTGCAACAGACTGAGCAGTTTGTAAATAAGCAGCCTCAGTTTTCGTGCCAGAAACGTCAGCCCATTCTCCGTTCAAATTGGCATCAAAGGTACCTTGGACATTTGCGGCTGCAGCAGAGTCCTCAACCTGATACCATTGCCCAGAAACTGAATCAAACTTCCACCCTGGATAGAGATTTTCCCACTGCTGACTGCTACTTAAATCCTGCCCAGCCGAAACTTGATCTGTGGATCCTTCGTAAACTTGCTGGTCGGTTTGATACTGCACATAATTAACAGAGGTATTTGCATAGTTCCCGTCTGCACTAGATTTAATTGTTGCTGCACCATTCAAATTATTCTCCAAGGACCCACCGGGATTCCCTGCTTCATTAATACCCAAATCATTGAAAAAATCCGAATACGATCCAAACCCATGCCCCCAATTCTGCGATGAATCAGCGTAAAACGAACTCCATCCAACCTCCTTTATTGCCGGACCAGCAGATTCATCGCTCTTGCTCACCAACGAATCTGACGTCGATTCCGATGCAATACCATCATTTCCCGATTCCAACACACTAACGCACCCGACAGAATTAGAAGAAACCAATGAAGCCTTCTCCTCTGCATGTGCTCCCAACGCTCCTGGATCAGCCTCCACGGAACCCTTCTCCAGCACAGCTTCATGCTCACGGTCACCAACACCACCAGAATCCTTGAATGTATTGTCCGCATCATTCATACTCAGATTGGCAAACGCCTTGGCATCATCAGAATCACTTCCATCGAGGAACTTGGATCCTGAATCATCGGGCGCCACAAAATCATCTTCCACCAATTTATCAAAGAAATCTTCATCAGTCTGATCCTCCACCTGAAATGGAGGAGGATTGGAAGCCATCTTTTAAACCCTAAATCCAACGCAACGCGTAATAACCCCGTCCAAATTCACACCGCTGCCCACTAAATAACCCAAAAAACACTTCCGAATTCACACCTTTACCAATTCGATTAGAGCTACAACCGCAACATATACCAAGAGATCCAGCCCCTAATGGCTCAAATACACCTCAAAACCACTTCCCCCAACTACGCAAGCTCCAATCCAACACATCCAACCCTAAAACGAGCAAGATCTGGCCCTCTGAAACCTCCCCAACGAAGCAACGTCAAATCAAATCACAAGGATTACCAGAAACGAAAAAAATAGAACACAAACCTAAATATCTACTAGAATTCAACGCATTGTTCGAAACGAAAAAACTACGAATTCTAACAAAAAAAACATAATAACTTACAGATCTACAGATGGATACGCAAGGAAATGGCAGGGACAGAGAGAGAGAGAGAGAGAGAGAGAGAGAAGAAGAACCCTGAAATTCGCACCACCCACCCACCTTGAGCTTCGGTGTTTTTTTTTTTTTTTTTTT